CTTCTAGAATCTCCTGCTTTCTCCTGACTATACCTGTCAACTTCAACAGTCCTGGTAACGGATAGGTGCAACAATAATGAGGCACTCATTGGTGTTGTCAACACCCTAAAATAATGGCAAATAATTGCAAATCTTGAGGACAGGTTTTCCACGAGACCATAAAGCTGAATTAAATAAGTTTGATATTTTTGAGCGATAGGGATTCATATGTAACAGATTGCCATTCAAGAACTTTATACGGTTAGTTCAAAATAATATACCAGTTAAAATATTAGAGTGAAACAGAACTGTAACATTTTTTCGAGTAGTGAAAATATATTCAATACAGCTTCATTTGTATCTTCACATTGGTATGTAAATTCACATTGGTATGTACTCATTCAAGATCGGCAATATTACATATTCTTTGAGATAAAACACCAGAATCATCAAACGAAATTGCCACAGCAATTCAGTAAAAAATTACGTATAATTTTCAAAAAGAATCTTTGATTCTTAAAATACGGAACAAAAACGTGTCCGCCTCAGCTAATACGAGACAAATCCTTCAGCGTCAAAACGCGGGACAGAAACGTGTTCTGTATCAGTTAATGCGAAAGATCCCTCAGCATCAAAATGGAGACAAAAACCTTTCAGTATCAGTTAATGCGAAACATCCCTCAGCATCAAAATGGGGACAAAAACCTTTCAGTCTCAGTTAATGCGAAACATCCCTCAGCATCAAAATGGGGACAAAAAACCTTTCAGTTTCAGTTAATGCAAAACACCTCCTCCAGCGTCAAAATGCGATAAAAAGAAGTGTCGCGTATCAGTTAATGTGAGGCATCCTTCAGCGTCAAAATGCAGAACAAAACGTGTACCGTATCATTTAATGTGAAACACATCCTTCATGTCTAAATGGGGACAAAAAAGTGTCCTGCATCAATTAATGCGAGACACGTCTTTCAGCATCAAAATGCGGGACAAATATGAATCCCCCATTAATTAATGCGAGACACGTCTTTCAGCATCAAAATGCGGGACAAATATGAATCCCCCATTAATTAATTCGAGACACGTCTTTCAGCATCAAAATGCGGGACAAATATGAATCCCCCATTAATTAATGCGAGACACGTCTTTCAGCATCAAAATGCGGGACAAATATGAATCCCCCATTAATTAATGCGAGACACGTCTTTCAGCATCAAAATGCGGGACAAATATGAATCCCCCATTAATTAATGCGAGACACGTCTTTCAGCATCAAAATGCGTGACAAATATGAGTCCCCCATTAAGTAATGCGAGACACGTCTTTCAACATCAAAATGCGGGACAAATATGAATCCCCCATTAATTAATGCGAGACACGCCTTTCAGCATCAAAATGCGGGACAAATATGAATCCCCCATTTATTAATGCGAGACACGTCTTTCAGCATCAAAATGCGGGACAAATATGAATCCCCATTAATTAATGCGAGACACGTCTTTCAGCATCAAAATTCGGGACAAATATGAATCCCCATTAATTAATGCGAGACACGTCTTTCAGCATCAAAATGCGGACAAATATGAATCCCCATTAATTAATGCGAGACACGTCTTTCAGCATCAAAATGCGGGACAAATATGAATCCCCATTAATTAATGCAGACACGTCTTTCAGCATCAAAATGCAGGACAAATATGAATCCCCATTAATTAATGCGAGACACGTCTTTCAGCATCAAAATGCGTGACAAATATGAGTCCCCCATTAAGTAATGCGAGACACGTCTTTCAACATCAAAATGCGGGACAAATATGAATCCCCCATTAATTAATGCGAGACACGCCTTTCAGCATCAAAATGCGGGACAAATATGAATCCCCCATTTATTAATGCGAGACACGTCTTTCAGCATCAAAATGCGGGACAAATATGAATCCCCCATTTATTAATGCGAGACACGTCTTTCAGCATCAAAATGCGGGACAAATATGAATCCCCCATTAATTAATGCGAGACACGTCTTTCAGCATCAAAATGCGGGACAAATATGAATCCCCCATTAATTAATGCGAGACACCTCTTTCAGCATCAAAATGCGGGACAAATATGAATCCCCCATTAATTAATGCGAGACACGTCTTTCAGCATCAAAATGCGGGACAAATATGAATCCCCCATTAATTAATGCGAGACACCTCTTTCAGCATCAAAATGCGGGACCACCCGCATTCTGCGGGAATGTTGGCAATCTTAGCACTACGCTTTAGTCAGTAAAACGCATTAGTTATTTCGTAAGTTTGGTTTATTCTGATACAAAGTTAGATCAAATCACTAATAAGGCATCTAATGAAGATCGAACCTTCCATACTGGCACATATAGTCTGCGCATTGCGATAAACACTTCATGCTCCCAGTTCTTCGGTAAATATGAGCACAACTTTTCCACAATTTCTTTGAATAATAACGATCACTATTTTTATTATTAATGATAGTATTTGTATTGATAATAGTAGCTAATAAACATTTTATTCAAAAATCATGCTTGATTAGTCCGCATCTATTGGTGTCATATTTCTGAGAAGGACAAACGATAGAAAGATATTGTTGGTATTTTTTTTGACACATTTCTTTTTGAATAAATAATATATATATATATATATATATATATATATATATATATATATTTGAATATGTGTGTGTGAGTGTGTGTGAGCGCGCGCGTAATCTTGTCTTTCAGGAAGTAAGTAAATAGTTTTCAAAATAATATTGCAAATAAATAAATAATGTTAGAGCTCGTCTCATCGCCAGTTGGATATTTTTCTATCGGCACCAGTGTTCAGTGTTCGATTCTAGTTGAAAAATCAAAATTATGAATGATGATTTTCAAGGCAGGCAGACAGACCATTATTCTTACATTCTAGGAAGACTGTCACAACAATATTTTTCCATTTGTCAATTTTCTTTTATTCGTTTTGTGTTATATAGTGTCATGTTATGCTTAGCTTAACGAACCTGTTCTTTTCGATTATTATCTAGTGGTTAGGCTAGGTAGGAGAATTACTTTGAATTTTCTACCTGTAGCAGATGTTCGTGTTCATTAACCATTATTTTGCCTGCTTATTTTCAAAGCAAACCCGCTTCACTTAAAATATCGACGCAATACAATCTTCCTACTTTTCAGAGACATTCCATTTGTCCCTGTGTCAAACTTTAGCTAAGATGAGTAAAAAAATATCATTCATCATTTCGTAAGGACATCCGGGCACTTGCGCGTATCGTACGTTACGTCACATCCGTTTACTGTAATAATTATGTACAGCAGAAAGGGCGAATTTACTTGTAACATTCATGGGCGACACCAGCACCTGCTAATCCTTAAAAAAAAGGAAAAAAATTAATAGTTTATGCGCCTAAACCCGTCAGTGTTTAAATACCAATCTTTTAGTAACCTTAGCGATCGTTACGCAATATAGATTTAATAAGAATGAAAAAAATGACGTGAGTAACCCTTAAACTGGAGGGGAAAAGGAAATTGAAAATAAACCGCGAAAAAGAACATTTTACAGACAGGATACAGAAACGCGCTTCAGCTTATGGTTTAATAATAATAGTAAAAGTAAAAAAAAACAACAAAAAAACAGTTGTTTGTTCTTGTATCAGCAGCAGTCATAGTAGCAGCAGTAAACGCGAGTTAAATATGACTGTACTGTAGTATCAAGTAATGAATGGCACTGACTTCAACCTTGTCCTATCGGTTGTTACCGTCTTTTGGGACCCTTGTTACTATCGAGCAGATGGGATTGGCTCCGATGTTTACTTACCTCAATATTTACTGAACTGAGGGCGCTTTTTAAAAAATGTTACTGTTCACGATGTATTTATTTATATAGCTATATGCACCAACTACTTCAGTTGACTGCCTCATTCATTGGGAAATCAGGTCTAAAACTAAAAAGTCTCATACCTAACCCGGTTTTTAAAATGTAGCCGGTGATTTCTTTTAAATCAATTTATTCATTTTTTTTTCTTTGGTTTGTTGATTGTTTGTTTACGTACACAATTCGAATGATAAATATTCACATTATTATTCGCCGATATTAACAAAACAAGATATTTTATATTTCTTTTTTGTGAAACTGAAAACCTGAGACTAACAAGACAACGTTCGTTCTTTAAAACACACGCATACACACACACATATATAAACGCAAAAATAATGATGATGATGATGATGACGCATATCAAAATAAAACCAGTATGTGCAAATTATGGAACTATGTTACATATTTACAAAATCAATGTGATCATAAAACAGTTCGAACGTGTTTATTGGTTTAAAAACTATGGAAACACATAAAATTCTTAGCAAAAAGAAAAACTGAAAGCAGCCATTCTTATGCTTTTAAACACCACGCATGTTATCAAAGAAGAGCGCATCTGCTCTGTCCCGGGTAGTTGGAGCAGTGTTTGTGCGCGCGCGTGTGTGTACAATTTTACAGTTTAGTACACTACACATAATTTATTTCGTTTTAAGGTCATTAAAAAAATATTATTTCAAGTTCATTTTTTGATATTGGTTGTTTTTGCTTTTCACATCCTCATGCATAAAAACACTAAAAAAAACAAAAACGCACTGATTTTTTATTAAAAAGTGAAGGCAAAATATGAGCTCAGGAAAATTAAGAAATTATTTAGTACTGTAAAAAAGTGTAAAAACCATTGTTTTAGCTTATACTTTTTTTTTTAATGTAAAGACTAATTTTTGGCAGTCTACGATTTTTAACTTCAGTGGAATTAGAAATTATTTCAAAAGGAAAAATAAAAAAACGGAAGCAAAAATCTAAGAAATATTTTTGTTGTTTCTTTTAAAAAGCGGAGTTTTATCATGAAGTTGAAAAAACACATGCACTGACCAAAAAAAAAAAAAAAAAAAAATTTAAGTACCTCAAAAAATATCTGTTAATTAGCTTTGAAACACTTGAAAGTCGAATTTATCACCTACAGTTGTTAAAAAAACATTCAACATGAAATTTGCAGAGCACCTTGGAGCCCATATCACTCCTGAATGGAGGAAACAATACATACAATACGAGGTAAGTAAAAACAGTGAAACACTTTTTTTGTTTGTTTGTTTGTTTGTCTGCTAGTTTCTTTATTTGTGGTTCTTCTTAGCTTCCTTCAGTGTTTCAATTCAGTAATTTACTTAATTACTAAATTTGATAACTATGTTTATACTTAAAGTAAACAGACTAAGTTGAAAAAAATTTAATTTATGGCGTCTTTAAGACAAAAAATAATCCACAATGATTTTTTTTTTCCTGGAAAATTTAGTTTATAATGCGACACAAGTTGTTTAGCTCCAAATTGTTGTGATGAAGGCGTATTGTTGCTGATCATATGATCAACTTATATCGTAAATCGCACTTTTTTAAAGCAGTACGGGGTAATTTCTCCTTATTTCAGCATTGATTAAGATAAGTTTTAACTTGCGAATTTAAACACTCACGAGGTGACGAACATGTGTTTGTCTTTTTTTCTTTATAATTTCCATAAAAAATTAAATTACAGTTTTGTTAAATACATTTTTTCTCTAAACAGACTTTAAAAATAATACATGATTTTGCTTTTAGTCAACATTAATCATTCATTGTTTAACTTTAAAAATAAATATCGGAAATATTGCTTTTTTTCTTTTTCATAGTTTCAATGTCAGTGATTTTCCTTTTTCAACATTGATGATGCTGAAAATTTACTACTGAAGAAATTTTTTTAATCTTTTTTTTTTTAAGTATAAAGTTTGAAAAGTCACCTGCATTCAAAATGTTAGGATTTACTGTTAGTGTTATTTATTTCTATTTAAAATGTGACTAAAACTAACGCAACCCATTACAAATAACTTGCTTTTTAGTTTTTAAAACAATGAAGCCACATGTTTGATGAAAACTACGGTTAAAAAATTTGTTGCTGAAAAATTTTATTTTATTTTTAAATATTTTTTTCTCTTTTAAATGCAAGTTTAAGAGAGTTCTTTTTTTAATCAACAACATTTTTTTGTTTTGTATAATTAATTTAACTGAAAGTAAATTCAAACGGACAGTAGAGAGTCTATTTGAAGAGAAAGTTTAACAAGTTATTTATTTTAAGTAAAACATTTCAATTTCATTAAGTGTTAATTAGTTTTTTTTATTCATTTTATCCTTTTTAGCTGAAACAAAGAAATGTCTTTTTGAAATGCATAAAATCTTGAAAACTGAAATCTAAAAAAACAGATATTTGAAGAAAATTTTAAGAACTTTTGCGTTAACTTAAAAATTCATTTAAATTCTTCACCAAATTTGTCTTTCTACTAATAAAAATTGGCTAAAGTGTCTTCCTCTAGTGAATATTTAATAAATCTCCATTGTTACAAAAATGAGTATTTGTTGCAGGAAGCAAACAGATATATTTTGGAATATGTCTATTCTTGCGTAATTTGCAGAAAGAAAACGTCAGCTTAGACTTGTCGTCCTAGGAAACTAGTAGCAGTCGAAGCTTAATTTAATTCAAGATCAGGGGAATGTCGAAAGATTGTTTCGCCAAATTTCCAGTAACTGAAGAAGAGAGTTGTGTATCTATCTAGAAAATCAGCTTTTGAAATTTTTGCTTTAGCTTATTCGAAATCAGCGTACCACATACACACAGTGTGCTTCTTAACAGATGGAAGAATTTTTTTTAACTGTTTTATTTTATGCAATTTGAATTTTAATCACAAGTTGAGTTGCGAGAACATACCTGGCGTTGAAACAAACATCCATAAAAAAAGTACTTTTGACAAGAAAATCTTCCCTAAATTTATTACTGATAAGTTTTGTTTTGTTTTTGTTTTGTTTTGTTTTAGTAATGGAATATTTAAGGTTTAGGTCCCGACTTCGGTATTTGTTGAATGAGTCAACAACATCACGAGATGTTTTTAACTAAAGAAAAAAAAAATCATCATCAGTGTCTGAAAAGTACATTTGTCTCAGAATAGGTCACATTTTTAGTCGTTAAAGCGTTTCAATTTATTTTCATTAAAACGACCAACAAGTTGAATGGGATGAAAGCTTGAAAGAAATGATGATCAACAACAAAGACAGATTTCTTCTGGGATCCTCAGAAATTAATTTTTTTCACATATTTCAGAATGTATTTATGCAATTGATGTTGCAAAACAAAAGGACAAATCTTTGCTTAACGAACCCCTTCTTGCGTTTGTCAGGCTCATAAACACTTCCAATAGCCTAGGGGATTTTAAGGAGTCGGTTTGTGGAATTAATTAATAATTGTAAGTTCACTCTAGACCTGGTAGTTCAAACTCGGCGGAAACTACGTAAGCAATAAAAATAACTTAGATACACTTTGGACAAGAGAATGAGAACAATCTACACCTGTATTCAATTTCAAGGGCTCAGTTCGAAATTACCTGAAACTTACTCGGATCGACAGCCACCAGAAAATGCCAACGTACAACGGACGAAACGTTCTGGTAAATAACAACAAAAATTCAGACAGAAACTTGCATACAAAACAATCAAAACACCAGTTGCCCCCAAAGGCAATAGAAATAGTAATACTTTTTTTAGTGAGGAGCTGATCGCAAATACGTGATGGAGTTTTTTTCTTTTTTTTTAAACTAAAGAAAACAATACAGATTTATTTATTTATTGCACTTAACTGAGGAAAATTATCCCCAGGGAATTCTGGTGAGCAAATTCTCAACAGTCGCGCCTAAAAGTTCACAGTGTTTCAATTAGAGAAAAAAAAAAGGTGTTTGCTATAACAACCAATTTTCATAATTTCACATGCTGGCCACTTTGGACAGCAATAAAAACTTAAAGATTATGAAATATGAATTACTAAATTGGATTTGAGGTGAAGAGTGTCTACAATATAAAAACAATATTGCTATATAAAATGTCTCAAAGGTACTTAAACTTATAAGTTAAATATTAAAAAAACACCTCAGTTTATCTATTAACAACTTTTTTTTTACTTGAGTTCATCCAAAACAAGACTTAAGAACTAATCAAGGTAGATAGTTACTATAGTTACTAGAGGCAGAAGGAAGCGGTAATTATGAGGATCGGGAGGATAGATAATAATTGATTATCTTTGATTGAGATCCACTTATGAAGGGGTGCTGAAATATTCTTTACATAGCAAAGGGGGCTTTTCAAAAAAAAAAAAAAATTCTGATCTATAATCAGATTTTGGGAAGTGGATTGAGCTGAAAAGTCATTGTTAATGTACATTTTTCCTTCCAAATTTTACATTCCCAATACACTTTCTTCTTTGGTACCTCAATTTCACAAATTTAAGCACACTATTGGATTGGCAATTAGGTCTCATAATTTCACTGTTTAAATTGTTAGATATAACCATAAGTTCTAATAAGGTAATAATTTTTTGTGGAACTCTCTTCCAGCTACTTGCTTTCCTATCAATGATGATCTTCAAAAATTTAAATTAATTATTATCTTCTGACTCCTGCTCTTTTATTGTCCACTCTGTTTCTTTCACTCTCAGTAACCACTTGGCATACGAGTGGCTTTTATTGCCTTGCTTGGTGTGAAATGATTAAATGGTTGGTGTCCACTTCAATTGAATATTCTTGACCCTAAATGTTAAATGCACAGACACACACACACAGATTTTACAAATTTATAAGTCTACCATTCATTTATGCATTTGGTTTGGTGCAACTGCTATGTATTTAGAGATTATAGATAAAATCCAAAGAAGAATCTGCAATGTTAATGATCCTGACCTGGCATCTTGGCTTCACTCAATTTCCTACCACCATGACATAGCTTCCCTTCGCCTTTTTTTATAAATACATTCATGTTAATTGTTCTGATGATCTTTCCTCTTAGGTACCTAGACTTCACAAATTTAAGCACAGCACTAGATTGGTGGCAAGGTTTGATTCTTTTACAGTTAAAATTGCAAGGTGTAACCATAAGTTCTATCTTAACAGTTCTGGCATTTCTCACATGTGGAACTCTCTTCCAGCTTCTTGTTTTCCATTCAACTTTGACCTTCAAAAGTTTAAATGCAATATTAATCATTATCTTCTGTATTCTTAATTCTTGTTCTTTTATTGTTCTCTCTCCCTAATAATGTATTTTTTTCCTCATATTCTTTCACATTCAGCAACCTCTTGCATCTTAGTGGCTTTATTGTTTTGTTTGGGATGAAATGATTAAAAAAAATTGACATGGCTGCTACTCACACACTCCGGTCTACTTTACCTAAATATCCTTGACCCTCTTGTTAAATGCATGTACACTCACACACATTGGATTAGGTATTGTAGATTTTAGGCATTGTAGATTGTTATATCAATTCAACTTTCTGATTAACAATTCTGAGCCATTATCCATTACACCACCTATACATCCAAGCACTTTGTATTCCCAAGTGGTTACCCATCTAGGTACTGACCAGGCTCAATATTACTTAACTTCAGTGATCATATTGGAACAGGTGTTTCAGCTTGATGTGACCATAAACCAAATTTTAACTAAACAGTTTTAAATAACTGGGTTGCCATGGTAATGATTTTTCCTTAGATGTTTTTCTCTGATTTTGAGAATAATCGTTGAGAACAAAATGTCAACATTAAATTAAAATATCCAATTGGTTTTCATGTATTCCATCTTACATAATTTATATTTAGTAAACTTAGTTTTGTATGACACAAAGCCAATTACGAGGAAATGGGATAGGAATAATGTTTCAAATTTTTATGTGGTGAGAGAGTGAGTGCCATTATTAAAACCTTGGCTTTTTACAAGAATTTAAGCTCCAATTTTCAGCTCTAATAGAAAATATGCAACTCTATACAAATTTCATTTTGTATATTCACATATGTTATATATAAACACACATACAATTATTACATCATTATGACAGATGTATAGTAGATATAAAATGAGTCATGAGCACAGAAAATAGGGTAACAGTTAACATACATACCCACAAAAAAAATGGTGTGTCATAAGGATGGTTTTTCACTTGACACCACTCATTATTGTATACTGCCTCAGCAATTTGTATTGCTTAAAATGTTATTTTTAGAGTTTTAATAAAACTCAAATATAGGAAACTCGATGTATGCATTCTTTTCTCAAGAATTGACAAAAAAGTATTATATACTGTTCTTGTAAACAAACAATCTAATAACTATATAGTGTTTTCAATTCTCAAGGAGGAAAAAGTTTTAATCCAGTTTCATATGTTTAGATTTTATTATGCTTTTTAAAGCAATAAAAATCACCAAGGAGTATACAGTAATAACAGTGTCAAGAAAAAAAAATGTTTTTTTGACACACTTTTTTTTGAGGGTATGTGTTTTAAACTTAGCCAAAATTAGAATCAGTAAATAAAGTTCAAATTTCAACTGAGGCAATTTATTAAATCTCTTCCAAATGGCATGAATCGACTTCTTCCTGAGCTCTGTGTTATTTCTAGAAAAAAATTGTTTTGCCTGACAAGCCATAATGGTTAACAAAGAAGTGGGTGAATTGGGAATAATGTTTTACATCCTCTACCAAGTAACTCAAAATAAATCTTTCCAAAAGAGAAACTATGATCTGAAATTGGAATGAAAGCATTTATTACATTTACACTGAATTCATCATAAAAATTAAGAATGCAGAATTACTAAATACTACACACTTCAAATACCTTGGTGTATGGTTCAGTTATAACAAATTTAGTATAGAAGATAAAGAAATTGAACATAGAATAGGCTGTGCTAGAGTTAGTTTCACCCAGCATTGAAATTATTACAAGATCAAAACATTAGCCTGAAAACTTGAGTCATGTTCTTAAACAGCCTTGTCAGGTCAAGATTTACATATGATGTCATGCATGGTGCCAAACATGTTCAGAAATATCTAAACTATCAGCTGTATACACCCGCTTTCTAAGATCAATGATTAAAAATGACTTTGAGCGAATGAAACCTGAAGGTCTTGGCAAAAACCATCCTTTTTTGAAATGGCATTGCAGAATCACAAATAAAGAACTGTACCAAAAAACTGAAACCACATTATTAGAGGACTTTTAACGATAGCAAAAATTAAAATGGATAGTATTATAACAACCTCAATAATGTTGATTATGATGATTGTAAGCACTTCCAATCTTACTAGGGAATGCTGAGATCAAGATGGATCCAGCAGGGGAGTTTGAATAAATAAGTTGCTAAGTTTACCATGTCTTGTGTTGCTTCAACTTTTCAGCAGCTAGTTTCATATAACTTATCTTTCCACCTTAATCCCAGTGGAACAGATAGCACATGTAACTTGAAGATGCAATAAAGATGTTGACATTCTATATTACTTCTTAAAAGAGTATTGACATCTACTGGACTCAAGAAACCTAAGAGAAAGATTTTATAAATTTCAACCAAGATTAGTACTGGCTGCTCGGGCAATGAATGCCAAATGTTTCCTTATGGGAAAATGGCTAATATTACCATTACTACAGACCTACACCCAGCAAAGCTTGGGTTATTTTTATCAAGTTGACAAATATACTTCTGAAATGAAATAACATTTTAAAACAGAAATCTGACACTTACATTGAGATCCTTTGCTTTGAAAGGGCCTCTTTGTAATTATTAAAGTCTATGTAATCAGTTATTTAATGTTAACAGTTCTTACTACTTCAAACATTGTGTAGACACCCTGTTTTATAAACAGCACAAATTACATCTATTGGCCTGCACACTCAAGAGACTTAATAAAGAAAATGTGCTCTCTAGCAGGGCTCGAACTTGTGTCCTCCCCTACAGGAAAATTCACTGTGTGATCCTGTGCATCCCAAACTGCTCAGCCACAGAGAGCATCACAGTCTAGCAATGTTCAATTATTCTTTTTGAAGAATTCACATTCTCTTGTTTGGATTTTCTTGAATCCATATATGATCAGTTTCATATCCAAAATGTAAAAGGAATTTCTAAGGAATTAACTGATTTTTCATTTTTAATTGGACATTATTTCTTATTAATCCAAATATTACTTTAGTCACTACCCATGTTTGAGTAGATGCCATGTTTTTTAAACCAGTGTGAATTACATCTACTTGTTTGCTTACTTTGAGAAATTTAATAATGAAAATGTGCTCTCCAGCAGGATTCAAATCTGCATCTCCTCTTGCAGGAGAGTAGTAAGAAATAATGTCAGATTAAGAATTAAAAATCCATTAATTCTTTAGAAATGTTAACAGTATGTATTAGTAGATTTATAAATCCCTTAATTTGAAATTTTGCTAACATATACCTTCAGTTACCATATATGTATAAGAAAACTATTTCTAAGAAGAATTTAAATGTTTCAATAGGGAATTAGGACCACAGATTGACAGATGAAATATTGATTCAATACAACATAGACAATTTTGCAGCAGATAGTTCTGGAATTTGGGAATGACCCTCTGAAATATAGTGAAAGGGCATGTATAAGTTTAAATACTATAGTTAAGAACCACTAAAGTTCTTACTAAAAGAATATTTTTTCATTTTCTCATGTGAATTTATTGAGATACCAATATTACACGCTTGGGGGTTAAAAAATAAGACTATATTTTAGCTCAGTTTGCATAGTTTTATTGTCTATGTGATCAGGACATAGACACTTTATTCAATTACATGCATGCACACACACATTGTAAGTAGATTTAATAGTAGATAGTTCCCTGGTCTTTTTTTTAATCAATTCACCCCAAGCAAAATGATAATGCCACTAAGACACAAGTTGTAAAAGCTATTAAGATGAATAAGAAAAACATTAAAATTTATTTTTCATGATTAATTTTCTTTGTTTTTAAGACATTTTCATTTCTGTTTGAATTTCTAGGATGATGGTTTATCATAATTTACATTATTTGCTTGCAGACTAATGTCCTCATCTTTGTTGTTACTACCATAATGTCCTCATCTTTGTTGTTACTACCATAATGCATGGACCATTGTGCTTTCCAAGAAACGAGAACAATTTAACTCCATAGATTAAATTAAGTGTTCAATTTGAAATTCCTTGAAGATTACCCTGATTGAGAAGCACCTGATGAAGGCTGGAGGGCATAATGACCGTAATGTTGTGGTAATAACAACAAAGATGAGGACAATAGTCTACATGTAAATAATGTAAATACATCTTCATTTATATTTTTTCTTCTGGTCAACTGACCAACTAAAACACCATTAAATGAAAGAAAAAAACTCTTGTTTGTCTCATTATTTAGACTAGAATCTTAATCTTTTTTAATGTGATGGTTATTTCTTTTGATTCCTGAAGAGAATTTGGCAGTTACTTAAAGATCACTAAAATTTACACATACCTGAAGAACACATACAACAAAAAAAGAAGATGCTAAGTTAAATAATATATTGAGTAATGAAAACTCGGAACTTCAGACAGTATAAGAAGACTGATTAACATCAGCTGATAGTTTGTGATAAAAATAACAAAGATGAAGATATTAGTTCAAATGTTTACAATAATGAAAATAAAGACTCTACATGAAGACTAAATGAACTATATTGCAAGAGATTACCATTTTTACTAACAAGTTAAATAAGATTTCACTATTGAAATGAATGTCAGATATAAGAAAAAAGAAACAACTTTGAATTACTGCAAGTAAAAACAAAAAGCATTTCATAAAACTGATATTAATATAGCTGACTTGGGTATGGGGAAAATTGTTATGACAGCTGATAGTCAAAAATAAGTCACATGTGAGAAGAAATCTAATTTCTTGACAAATTAAGTTAATGACTGATCTGGAATAAATATTCCAGAAAGAAATAAAGCATTTCTTCGTCTGCTGCCTTTCTAAACAACATTTAGACATGTGAAAGTTTCAGCTTGGACACCTGCTATAAAGCAATGGTTAGCAAGATATCTTTATGCACACTTGCTTGTGTCACTTGAATTTGATCTTTGCTGGGTGAAGCAAATAAGCCCTCTGCCAGACTAAGCAAGACTTAGTAAATATTTACATATGACACATTCCACCTGTCAGACTAATGAAAGTAAGTAAATACCTTAGAAGTTCTTTAATGCATTCTTACATAATTAGGAAAGCAAAACGAAATGAAAACTTTCAATGTTTGCATTGTTATAACATTATTGCCTGCCTGTGCTGGCACATGTTAGGAAAAACAGGAGTGATTGATTGATTTGTTTTTTCATGACTTATCAAACCTTTGAAGGTTATTTCAAGCTAAAACATTTATTCAGTTGTGTAAAAGAACTCTTCTTTTGTGAGTGAATATTACATTAACAAATGTTCATGATTTATCAAATCTTTGTAGGTTATTTCAAGCTGAAACATTTATTCAGTTGTGTAAAAGAACTCTTCTTTTGTGAGTGAAAATTATATTAAGAATATTTTCATGACTTATCAAATCTTTGTAGGTTATTTCAAGCCGAAACATATATTCAGTTGTGTAGAAGAACTCTTTTTTTTTTTTTTGTGAGTGAATATTACATTA